ATTTTATCAGTTCATGGACCAGCAAATTACTCCAGTTAGACATCGAAAGCAAATATATCTTGAAGACTAATTCCTCCAAATCTAGTAGTTTTTTTAACCTTGAATAATTTGTAGTAGCCGGAAGACTTTGGTTGAATTCTTCCATAAGCTTATCCATATTATCCTTTAGGCTTTGTAGCAAGAATTAAATTATCAGTAGCAGCCTCAGCTTTAAGGAACTCCTCTGCACATAATGAGAAAACTAAATTCAGACCAATCATTCACTTGAACAACTAAATCCTAAGGAGAACATACATGTTCAGCTTCAATTCTTAGTTTCTAACAAAAAAATTCATTCCAAAATGATAACTTATTGTAGTCTTTACTTCTTACATAGCTGCATTTTTATCCACTTTAGTTTTCAATATCTATAGCACTATGACGGTACAAGTATTCTCAAGATTTGTACAAAATTAAGCTCTGACTACTTGAATTGCCAATTTTGGCATCCCAGATCTTAAAGGACTAAACCAACTTCCACTTTGAGCTAACCAGTGAAGATCATATGCAATTTAGATAATTGGTTAACAAAACAATCAATTAAGGAATGGCTGCCACAGTAGTTACCATAGTAATTTTTTGGAGCCTCTCTGCAGTTTTTGTGATCTAGCAGCAGATAATAACATCATGAAAGTTCGAAAAAGTATGCAGTGCAAAAGGAGAAACATTAAAAAAGGATATGCAAACCTTTTCTATATGCTGGCGTTTGTAGGCATTACCGCAAGGATTTCCAGAATTAATAATGACCGATCCAATGGTGCTATTAACAAAAACTTCAACAGTGTCAAGATTGATCTCCCAGACGTTATGAGGCAGCAGATCATAATAATGAACCTCAATGTTTCTAAAGCTGGCACAAAGTCCATAAATTGAGAAACCTGGTCTTGGCAGAAGAACATTAGCCCCGGGGCACGTCGAAATGGATATCACCATTTCAATAGCTTGACCCTAAAGCTCACGCTTCTGAACATCAAACTTTAGAAAGCCAATATTCAATCAACCACAATGTTTTGAATTTCTTACTACTACATAAAATCTACATCCCAATTTAAACGAAATTGATTCAACTTCGAAAACCAAAAATAGAAACATCAAAACTTATAAATTAAGAACGAGAGTAACCAACAAACAACGAGGGATAAATGAAATGAGTAAAATGACTTTGAATCTGAAGAATTCTTCGGTGCCGGAGAAGAGATAATTTATTTAATATTCTGCAGGCGACTGTCATACAAAAGTGAAAGGAGGGATAAATGAAATGAGTGAAAACGACTTTGAATCTGAAGAATTCTTCGGTGCCGGAGAAGAGATAATTGATTTAATATTCTGCAGGCGACTGTCATACAAAAGTGAAAGCTCTTAAACCTAAATAAAATTCTAATGACTTATTTAAGCGTACATTCTCTTTGTACATAGTCTTGCACATGTTTTAAAAGAGTATCACAATCGAGGGTAAATGTAGAATACGAAAGAGTACCAAATACAACAAACTACTGTTACTTCTGTTAATCCTACAATAGGAAATATGATTTATATGAGAATTCAAATATTAGTTCTCAAAATTGATTTCAGGATAAAATTTCTTTCTAGGCCTTTCATCACCGATCTACTTGTTATTAATAGCCTTAAATTTATTGTGCGTCTTAATCAGATGAAAAAACCTGGTACCAACAGGAAAACTAAGCCAAATAGGACCATCTTGCTACCAAATTTGATGAGTTTATCCCAATAAGAATGCTCCAGATCATTTTTCCTGTCTACAACGAACACAACCAACATTAAAATTATAAAGCCGCCATGACTCAAAGCAATTTAATAGTAATCATATATACATAAAAATCAAATCTACACACAGTATCTTCCATTCTTGTATTTGAACTACATTCATCGGTGAAGGAAAAATATACAGCAAAAGTAATTGCTCAAACCTCAATCATGAAGATCGCTCAAATCTGAATTTAAACCCTTGAGCTGCCGAAACGTGTAGCTCAAAAATCAGAACCGCTCGCTTCTAAAAATCAAATTTGAGGAAGCCAATATTCAAAATAAAATAAAATTCAAATAGGGTAATCTGGACCTTTTCAGCTAGGGTTTGAAAAGGATGGATAGAAAACAAGGAGACTTAAAGGACGGCGAAGGACCTGATGCTTAGAATTCGTCGAGTCCGTATCAACCGATTTGTTGAATAGGTATTACAAACAAGGAAGGGGCTTTCTCCAGGACAGAACATATTTCTACGAATGCATACCGCCTCGGTTTCCTCAACTCAGACTTCATCCTCACTCATCTCTATTTCTAAGTTCTCCTCCTCCTCAGATTCACTTTCACCATTCTGTACAAACCCCAAAAGTTAAACTACAACTAACTTATCCACGTTAGGATTCGAGAACCGAAATGGATAAAATCTCCGCCACATACTTTCACAATAGTAAGAGCATTCAGAAGGAAAACGAAACAAAAAAAAAATGCAAAAGTGGAGCCATGGAATGTTTAGCAGATAACATAATATCAGAACACAAATCCAGAGACCACACAACGGCTTCAATCCTTGAAAGGAAACAGTACGATGAAGCAGAAAAAGAACTAACCTGAGTCCAAAATTTCGATGCCATGGTTGTTTCTTCAATGGCTTACAGATTCAAGTATTCGCAGAAACTGCAATAAAGCGAAAAAAAAATCAGAAAATCGGAACAAAACCGAAAATCAAAATCTCACGACAAATGCATAAGGACCTGGACTCATTAAAAAAACGGTAAACATCATTCACCAATTCAATCCCAATTAACAATTCAATTAAGCAGGCGAAGAAATAGCACATCGAAACAAACTTGATTTTGGGATTGAGAATCAAAATCTCTGAAGGCAATTGACTCCGAATCTTGTTCGAGGGTGCTTCTGGATCGAAGATAGGAGCAAGTAGAATCAACTGGAAGACGAATTCAAGAGAAGAGAGTAAAAGAGAGCGGAGAGAAGCATTGACAATCGGCTTAAATTTGTAGAGGTTGAGAACAATGGGGGGATGGATTTTTACCTTACGTAGGAGTTTCAGTTTGGGAAGGAAGACGGAGAAAAGGACATTGTTATTACTTCTTATTTTTATTTTTGATAGCTGGGGGTTTTTTTTTTTCCCAAATTCAAATTTCCTATTAATTATTAGTGGAAAACTGAAATTATAAATTCTCGTTTTTACCCTTAATAAGTTGCTGGTGTCATATCAACCCTATTCAACGGACGGAATCGCTTTGACGATGGTTTTAATATTTCTTGGGTATTACTTTTTGCTTATTGTGTCTTTTATTTAAGTATAAGGACTAATTGAGAACAACATTAACCAATGCTTTACCTTACTGTAGTTTCATCAATATTTTTCTGAAATTGATTCGGACATGTTTCGTGCAAGGAGTTTTTTTTTTTTTTTTTCTTCTTCTGATGTTCACCCACTTCAAAATTTTCAACAAAATTACAGTCAAATATAACACAATGAACACAAATCTTCATCCTCACGGTTATGTCATTTGCTAAAACTATTACCCTTTAAATCAACCAAGAAATAAAACTATTTTGGGTGTAAATGTCCAAAAATCATGTTTTTCTAAGTACTATATATTTCGTTTGTTTCAAAAATAATTGTTCTATTTAAAATATTTTCACTTTTTGTATAATTTATAGTACTTAATTAAAGTAGCAAACAAAAAGGACATGTGTCAGCACCACAATGAAAATTTTCCCGCCAAAAGCCATTTTCAGTACAAAATCATTTTTGACACGTGGCACTCTAACTAATCAGAAAAAGGGATAGAATAGATAAATACATAAATCCGTTAATTATATCTACATAAAAATATCTTAGTTATAGGTATATACCAATCCCTTAAAACAACAATATTTACTTGATAAAATCAAATGTAAGGAAATCCCCTTAAATCAAGTGAAACACCGGTACTGTCTTTCTAATCCCCAATTTCAAAGAATCTCTTCCATTCCGCTCCTCTATTACACCCGAGCCTTTAAATCAATTACTTAAAATCTGACATCAATTATCAATCCATCTCTTTCTACAACAGAGAAAAAATAAGCTGTCATGAAAGAACTTTGATTTTTTGAGGATGATTTTTTTTTTTTATTCTTCTGTTGTAGATATTGGTTTATGATTTATGTAAACCCGGGTATAAGTTAACTGTTATAAATTAAATGTTGTAAATCTGGACATAGATTTATGTGTAATAACTAACTTTCTGTCATTTCAATCGATTTTTTATTCTTTTAATTTTTTTTTATTCTTTTAAGAATGATTGTATTTTTTATTTAATCAATTTAAAAATACATGCGACATCCGGGCATTCGCCCGGGCAAACATCTAGTTTATTTTAAAAAAATAAACAATTATTTAGTTACGGAGACAGTTTTAGTATTGTTGGGAGACGTTTGCATTGGGAAAAAACTACCCATACATTGATTTGATAACAAGATATAATTCCGAAATTGACAACTACTACTCTACAACATTACCCAACCATTTTTTATTTCTCCTAAAAGTCAAACCATTATTCCATTTGCACGAGGCAATATTACAAAAAGATTTCTTTTAATGACAAATGTTTCTATTGAACTTTTAAAAATAATTTTTACACCAAACTATATTCCAGAAACGAATTCTTTTACCTCCTTACTATGCCATACTCGGGTTTGATTTTATTTTTTATTTTTAAACAGAGATTGATTTATTTAAATGCTTTAAACTGAGCACCAGTTGGGTTGAGTTTCTTTTAACTTTCGTCCAGAACAAAATTGCAGCTTGGGAACGACGGCGGTGATGATGATGATGGCATTGAGGGCAAATGGAAATGCTTTTCCAAATCGGGTTTTGGGTAACTTTTACTCTCTGCTTTGGTTGAATCGTAAGTTGGACTTTGAGTATCACAGTGTTGCTGCCTCCCCACACCACAATTCCTCTGCTCCAGACAGATTGAATCTGTATGCAAGGTTGAAATCCGGGCTCCTCAATGACATTCAAACTTCGGTTGATGCCATTAATTTGTATAAACAGATGGTCCGGATGACTCCTCCGCCCAACGATGTTGCTTTCTCCCAATTGCTGGTCCGAGTGGTTAAATTGAAGCACTATTCACTTGCCATTTCACTCTACCGCAACATGACTGCTCTGGGATTTCCGGTTAGTGATTACATTCTCAACACTGTCATTCATTGTTACTGTTTGGTGAATAAGGTTGATTTTGGGTTCTCTGTATTGGGAGGTTTTTTTAAGCGTGGCATTGTGCCTGGTGTGTGCACTTTTGGTACTCTACTCAAAGGGCTTTTTAAGGAAACACGGATTTTACAGGCTCAGGAATTGTTCAAGAAGATCATTTATGAAAAATTATGTGATCCCGGTGTCGTCATGTATGGGACTGTGATAGACGGGCTCTGTAAGGTTGGGAATACTACCAAGGCCCTTGAATTTCTTAGAGATATGGAAAGAACAAGAGTTGAGCCGGATGTCATAGTATACAATGCTGTCATAGATGGCCTCTGCAAGGATAATGGGATGGATGAAGCAGTTTCTCTTTTAGGTGAGATGATCGGGAAGGGTATATCCCCCAATGTTGTTACTTGTACTTGTTTGATAAAGGGTTTGTGTAATATAGATAAGTTGGATGAGTCAATAAATCTCTTCAAGGATATGCTGGATTTGGGAATTGCTCCTACTACATATACTTTTAATGTACTGATTGATGCATTATGTAAGGAAGGTAAAGTGGAAGATGCTGAGGGTTTACTCCATAGGATGACTCAACATGGCCAGTATCCTGATGTGTTCACCTTCAGCTCCCTCATTGAGGGATGTTGTTTGCAGGGCCGAATCAGCAAAGCACAGGAGTTTTTTGATACCATGGTTGGAAGTGGCATTGTTCCAAATATGTTCTCTTACTGTATTTTGATAGATGGGTATTTCAAGAGATTTGAAGTTGATCAAGCAATGCAACTCTTTCGCGAGCTTTTCCGAAAAGGATTTACCCCAAACGCCGCTGTATACACCACTGTCTTGCAGGGCTTATTTAGGGCAAGAAGGTACGTCACTGCAAGAGATATTTTCATCGAGATGCAGTCACTTTCTATAACTCCTGATTTTTATACCTATTGTGTAATGTTGCACGGTCTGTGCGAGAGTGGTTCTATCGATGAAGCCATTGAATTTCTTCACAAGTTGGAAACCCAAGGAGTGGAACTTCATATAGCTATGCATAGTATCCTTCTTGACGGCTTGTGCAAATGTGGGAGGCTTGATGCTGCCAGGGATCTTTTTCATAGTCTTCCGTTGAAAGGACTAAACCCTAATGTCATAACTTATAACACAATGATAAATGGCCTTTGTAGAGGAGGTTTGGTAAAGGAGGCTAGAGAACTTTTTGGGAAAATGGAACACTATGGTGTCTTGGCAAATGAAACCACATACAATACGATTATTCGAGGACTTTTTAATATAGGTGAATTTGATGATGCGGCAATCTATATCAAAGACACAGTTCGAAGGGGCTTTCAAGTTGATTCATCAACTTTTGCACTTTTACTTGACTTGTCCTCTTCCAAGGAAAACAATGCTGTGCTCGCAAAGATAATTCAGGATCTTGACCCCCAGAGCATGAATTCTTTGTCTTAGTTGGTGCCATGCTAAAATGTCTTTCCTGTGGTTGTGAAGTTTGGGTAGCAAATCAAATAATTTTTCCAAAGAAAATATTAACAACAAAATACAGTGTCTTATTCACTCGTACATTTGGAGCCCCTTCTGAAGATGGATACTGCAGATCCATATTTTAATGCAAATATGCACAGTTGATACGCAACGACGTACAATAGTCATGATCGCTCATACAGGAAGGACTGAAGTGAAAACTTGATTCAAGGTACTGTCAGACACTTGAGCAGGAAGTGTACTTGCAGTAATGCTTTTGCGTTCAGTGGTGATGGCCATTTGTTTGGTGCTTTTTCTAGTTGGAGATGCTCCTGCAAGCAATTTTTAAGGACTTGGCGTGTAGTTATGTAGGTGCAGAAGCTCCAGTGCTGTGGTTCGTTCAGCAAAATTTCTCGGAATTTTAGTCCATCACACCCCGCATCTGGCTTCTCTGATAGTGGTTAGTTAATCCTATAACATGGTGTTATTTCCTTTCAGTGGTTTTTGTTCCCAAAAACTTTACCTATTCAACCATATTAAATGATTTCAATTCGGTTAGTTATTTCGCATCTGATGACTTGTATGATTTTTATTTCCGAAATAGGGAGGTTCTCATAGGATCATATTGATTTTGTTTTGTAATGTGGGGTTTAGCAAACATCATATGTTCTGTTTGAATGTGATTGATTTTGACTGTTGATACATGGGTTGAGGTCGTACTTATATAGATTCATCAGTGGACCTTGCAGGTCTTTCTGTTCCCGTTTGCAGTCTTACCATCTCGGTTCATATCAATTCTCTGTCAAACTAAACCATTATGGAGAATATTAATTTTCTTGTATTTGTGCATCAAGTCAAATTTGTTATGTATATATATTTTTTCCAAAATTTTTGTAACCACCTTATTCTGTTTTTATATCAAGAGATTTTGAGATTTATATCACCGATATCAGGTACAAAGTCTTATTGAAAGATGTCTTCAACTATCCATGTATCAGAAGGAAGTTGTGAATGTCCTTCTACAGCAAGCTAAAATTGAGCCTGGTTTCACTGAACTTGGTATGCTCGCATTTGTCCTCATGATTCCTCTACTACAAAGCTTTTTGTAGATGCAATGATATTCTGTAGGGAGGTGGAACCAAACCTCCCTTTTCTCGTCTTACAAAAAAGATTTTTTGTATCATATTTATGCATTTTCTAAAATTTCAAATAGATATTTGTTCTACTATCTAAAGATCTCGGTATTGTAATTTGATGCACTATAACATTGTCTATTGTTCACTCCATGAGGTATGTTTTGGATAAATGCAGAAACATTGCACCGGAATTAAATCCGTGGCACACAATTGTTTAATAAAGTTGCTACAAATGTTTGATTGTTGTCCAGTGGGGAATTGAACTTGCACCTGTTTTTGTCATTTCAATCTCTCCTTACTGATGGCAGATTAGAATACTGCACAATCTTTTTGACAACATTATGTTTATAATAGTTTTACCACCTTCTTCTGTGTTAGAAAAATCATGTCTTTTTTGATAGTTCTTAGTTGATGATTGCCTTTTAAACATTTGAATATTGGCGAAGTAAAATCATGGCAAAGTAAAATTGCGGAAATTATTCTTAGTTGCCTTTTAAAAATTTGAATATTTTCAAAGTAAAATCGTGGAACCAAAAACCTTGTCTTTTGAATCTTTGAAGACCTTAAGATGACAGTCATTCGTGACTTCAGATAATGCAACCATTCTTTGTTAGATGACAAGATTAGAAAAAGTTAACATGTTCATAAAGTTCCTCTCGTCAGAGGATAGCTTGCGACTTGCTAGAACTAATTTCCGTTCTTTGTTATCATGGTCAAAAGAACTATGGTGAGACGGCAGAAAAAGTCCATGCATAAATGTTTTCATAATGAATTCAAGCTTTCACGTCTGTTTTTGTTCTATATTCCTGTTTGGCAAAAGCTTGGAGGAAAATCAGGAATATTTTAGACCCTATCATTTTATCATTTGCGGTTGATAGTAAAGGATCAGATAGCGAGATTCAATGAGTTGCTGTTTTGAGGCCTTAAGAGCATGATCATGTCAATTGGGAATCTATTGCATTTCAATTTTCTAATTGGATACTGGTGTTTCCTTGTTTGATTGCATTTTCGCTGCATTTTCATTTATCCTGTTAGTTTATATGTTTGTGTCTCTGAATCCTCTAGTATGTTAATCTAGTTGGTCATGTTTTTTTCCTTCAACTGTATATTTGGGTTGCAAGAAAATAATGATTGCAGAGCGAATAATTAGTTCCTTTACTCTGGCAACAGATCACAGTGCCTCATCCTCTGAACCACCATATGCTGGCAGCAGAACAGATACAGTGCCGCATTCTCTGGAGCATATGGATTCACCTCTCAAGAAGGAAACTGTGGATCCAGATCTGAACTCAAATTTGCACAATGGATATTCATTGCAGCAGCGTACATCTGCTATGGATTTGACCTCATACTGGAAGGATTGAAGCATCATGAAACATTCCATTCTGTCAAAACTCAAATGTTAGATTGATTTAAGGTATGAATGGTGAGGTGCTTAAGCAAGAAGCTGTTTACCGGGGCAATAATGCTGTTGCGCATAGTGCTGATGTCAATGCATTTGATGCTCACCGCACAATTGGATGCTCTTGTTTCATCTTACAGTGGTGTTGAACACAATTCTCAACCCTTGAACCAGAATTATATAGATGCAGAAACCTCTGTCCTACAAAAATATAAATCAAATTTTAAATTATTTATAGCTCTTACACGAAAAGATAACATTACTACTCACCAGACGTACGAAAATTAAGCAAAGCAAATGGTAAAAAATCCCACTTTATGTAAACACTAATGAAAATGGTTTATTGGAAAATACATATCCCATTTTTTTTTCATCTCAGATTCGGCTTTGTTTGGTCAACCTTCCATTTTGCATTTTATCTCATTTTACCTCTTAAACACAAAACCCAATGGAAAAGAAAACATCATCCAAACAAATTTCTGATTTACATTTTAAATTCTAACTTGAAACACTTTTTGTTAGTGTAATGACCATTTTAGAACTATAAATAATTTAGTGACAAATTTGGCAGGATTCCGTTGTTGAGTGATTGTTTTTAGAAAAGTTCTTTTTTTCAGTGACTATAATTGACAGTATTTAATTGTTTAGTGATGACTTGTACTTGATATTTCAAAATGTAGTTCAAAATACTTTTTTTTTTTTTCCAAAACCAACATCCAAACAACATTTTTATTTCCCGTTTAATTTTCAATTTGAAACACTTTCCACTTTTAAGTGGCAAAATGAAATGTAAGTTGACGTCCAAATAAGCACTTGGAAATCATGTGTCCAAACAAGCACAGAAGTTCTTTATAATTCCTTCCAAACAGAATAAAGAGTACTAGATTATCTAAATCACCTACCTTCCAGTCAGAGTAATTCATTAATCTAAGATATTGAGTTCTTAAGCCCCTCTTTGATCGCCTATACCATTCATCTAACTTCTGTAGATGTTTGGAACCACATGGTAGATTTCTTCCATTGTCATAGACAAGATTAAGCAGTTTTAAGGTTATGTTCCCCCTTCCAGATATTCATAACCATGCAAGCACATTTAATTAAGTGGCCAAGTTAATTAAAAGATTAATTAAATCACTTATCTAGGCACAGCACCTCATCAAGGAATCTGAATCAAAATCCTAACATAAAGATAGTAGGGATTGAACGCTTAATTGAGTTAGCTACTCATGTTTATTGAGTTAAATATGAGAACAACAAAGTACAAAAGATAAGATATGAATCTAAATCAAAAGGTTAGAGAAAAGAAAAGGAAGATGGTAGCAGGGACAGTTTCTGTCTGCTCACTATGGTGAGTGACGTTCGTCACTTCACAAAGGGACAATTTACCTCCTTGTTCCTGCTACTACCCTGTTTCTAACCTACTAACTAACTACCTAACTAC